AATAAGTGAAGCCGAGAGGTAACTTAAACGAGAATCGCATAAATCTGTTTGCTCAGTTGATATCTTGTGGAAGCAATTCGGTGTGAACATAAGTCCAATTTGTTATATATTCAACGAAATTTCTTCATCAAGACATAAATCGAGAGGGAGAAAACCATCCATATCAAACTAAGGTAATGGTTGTATTTGATCGTAGCATAGAAGAGTTGCACAGAACCAATCTGGAGGATAGTCCGGGCTGATTAGTCATTCCCCCCCACGCTTAATTTGGAAAATGAAATTTTGAAATTTGAAATGCAGCTGAAACCACGTGATATAAAGCTGTTATCGAACGCCCAACAAAACATAGCTTTATTGATTTGACCAACAAATTCAAATTGCGTCGTCCGCCATTTGGCAATGGGTTTATCTCACTGGTGGCCAACAAGTAATTCAGCATATTGTTGAAGCTGATTTACTGAGCCAGTTTTCTGACGAATTTATTTTTATCCGTCAAAATAATTAAATATATACAGCTCCCAACGAGTTGGAAGGGATATGATTATTGAGCGCATTGTTGTTGGTCTCCTGCGTACGCCAATTCGGACATAGCAAAACTTTCCGCACTGATAAGGGAGGTTTTTGATAACTGTCACTCCAAAAATGTATTTGCTGAAGTCATATTTTTCACATATGAACGTTGGTATATCAGCTCGCTAGAGCTTGATGACAGAAAACGGTTAGACCAAAATAAATATAATTTTATTCACATTTATGCAGTTTCTAGACGGGTCGGGTTCAATGTCAAATTTGTTTTATTGAGGTGCAGCAGCTGGGATTTTATTTTATTCGGAAACTTATCCCTCTGTCAGAAACAGGGATAAGTCAGCTACCTTACCACAGGTGGCCGATGGTAAGGGTGTGCGGTGTATTAGAGGAAGCTCGCAAATTATGTTTGGCAGTCAAATTGGTGGATTCCATCCCAAAGCGACTGCCTCCAGTGCACAGAAACGACGAGGAGCAAATGGTACATGCATGGTATGAAGCTGCAAAGTCTATGAATCATTTTGATAAATAAATTCCAGTTACGTTTTCTACTGTGACCGTGTTATCTTGCAACTGATGCATTAGCAAAAATCGTTGAAATCGCGAAATTGTGCATTTAAATGGCATGTGGCTAACAGAGGCAAACACATAAGTGGATATTACATCAGATATGTTGCGTCTGATGTGGGGCAATATTATAATAAATCCCGTGAATAAGGCTGGAAAAACGAAGTATTGAGAGGAACACATGTGATGAAAATCAGGATGTTGCACAACTTTGGTCAACACCTGTATATTAGATCATTCATTGTACTAACAAACAGCTGATAAGTCCTTAACATGAGGAAACAGATATATAGTTCTCTCATTCGGTCAAGAATGCTGCGTGGACATGCTCACGTTTGGGTGTAGCAGTGTTGTTTGTGGGCTCAGGGGATGCGTCAGGCGATTTATCATATTGGTTAAGAAATAGTGTAAATTTACAATTTAGTTTTATTTCCAGCTAATGCATATATGAGTAGGTGCCCGCCGATAGACAGTATTAGACAAGTCACTCACATCAACAAACCAGCCTTGTTTCTGAATGCCATTGGAACTGTACAAAACGTTGAACGGGGAAGGAATTGAAGCAGACCACAACAAACCGTAAAACGGGCGCAATCCAATCTGCTGGCAGCATGCATTAGGGAACTTGTTAAAACCATTAGATTATTTGATCCTTTCTAGGCTCTGCATACCACTGCAAATGCCGATTTTTGCCGTACAATAGTCAACATGGACGGGTTTCCCTATAAAGCTTTGTTTTGCCCGAGCAACCGATTTCGTGGAAGATAATGATACTGGTAAAGTGGTCATTCCGGTCGGACTTATGCATTTGAAACCAAGTAAGAATACCGATTTTTGATTAGTGTCATTGAATTTGTTTTCATATTTACATAATTTCAGCTAATTAGATTGAGTTTGTAGAATCTAGCAAGTAAAAAACCTGGAAGACCTGTTCGCTCAGTTCACAGAGCTTATCCAAAGGGTACGACAACGACGTGCACGGTGGCCGTCTTCATGCTGTTTCCTTACACTAACAAGTTCCATACTTGGTTCTGCAGTCATATCTGATGAATTATCAAACTGCTAGCCTTTGCCGTTTAAGAAACCACAACCTGCGATATTTCCGAACATTTCAATGGATTATTCCTTTTCAGGTTTGCTCAGTCATGTTTCAGTCTGTAGCGGGAAACACTGTGTTCTCTGATTCCCGAGCTATTCATCAATAAAACCGCACGATTATATCCGCATTTGCAGCGGGAATGCCGGAACCACGCTGAATATCATTGATTGATGTATACAATTGCGCCCTTGGCACAAATCCAACGTCTATATCTATCACCTCTCCGGATTCTGGTTAACGGTTTGTAAACTAAAATCTCTGATTCCACTGGAAACTCTGTAATATATCAGATATGTTCGTTAAGTTTGTTTGTAGAAAGAATAAGATTTCGTTACTCAGATGGTTTGCCTAGCACATCTAAAGGACTCATCGGTGATCTCACAGTGTGCATTTATTCGTCACTTGCTACCACGTTTTTGTATCACCTGCATATGTTTGGAGTTGCAATCAAATATTTGAAATCATTATACTAATTTGGTTTCACAAACACCGAAACGTCCAAGCAAAACAGAATATATAAATGGGCGTCGTCTTCGAGGGGCATTCATTACTGACCGCGTGATGAAATTCATTGCAAGTTTTACTCCTGAAGAAAAGTAAGTTGTTAAGTAAGGTAGATATAAACTCGATCTGGTTGGCACAGTTCTAGGAGCTCGCTGCATGCGAGAAATCAGGCAATTTCTGTTACCGAAAACCCCAACAATAGTCAAACACGATCAGAGCGATCTTGGAGTGTATGCTTTGTTGGACAACCTGGTAAATTGTGCGAAGCTGAAGTCTGAACAATAGTTATATCAAAGCAATCTAATCTGTCGCTTAGCTAATTACCACTAAGTGAATCTTCACCGTGAAACAATTATTCGTGTTCAAATGTGGACCGCTCTAATCTGACGGTACATCGAGATCAGACTGCATATCTATTTGCTAACAATTTAATTCCGCTTATGCTGCTTCTCAGACCAAGCTCAATTGTTGCTCATTTCGTGGAGACGGGAAAATCCGTTATCATGCCATCCGCATTTATAAAAATTGATTAAATACCGACACCCCCCTTCGCAAGCAATACTGCTTCGAACGGTAGCGACCGCAGAGGTAATCAGCAGCGGACTCACGAAATCCGAGCTGAGGGCGTGGCAAAATGCGATACAAGCTCAAACTCCCCCGGCCAATGAAGGTAAACTAGAATTGATCCCATACGTACCACAACAAATGCGGAATAGGTAATCCAATCAGATTAGCAATTTCGAGTTCTGTACGATTCGTCACCAAATACATGACTCATCCACTTCTGTGGTTCATTCTACTGGAATTATTTAATTCGTGAAATTGTGCTTTTATAGGGATAAACATGAATTCTTTGGGAAAACAGATAGGTGAACGTTGACTGTTGTAAACCCATTCTCCCAAGTAAGTCGTTTGTCATCTCTTCGCTGAACATGTTCTCACTGCCACTGGTTCCAGTCACATTTGGTGAAGCTCTTACCGATCTTCAGCATCTCTCACCTGCCGCAATTCGTTTCATAATCTATGCCCAAAAGACCTCTATAGAAACATGATATAAATTAAAATAAATTAATGCATCGAAAGGTTTATTTTGTATTCACCGCAAGGTAGATACTCCTTCTTGAGGTGAGTGGTCAAAGTTGATGGACGTTTGTTAGAAACTCGACGTAATTTCCCAGTTAGAAATAGCTTGTTTCGTTTCGCTCCTCTTAATTCCGCATGAGAATCACGACCGCCAGATATCCGAAAATAGCCAAGGTAGACGACATAGAGCTGCCAGCAGAAACTGATTTGGGGTGTTACAGGGGAAAAACGAGTATGCGGTATACAGTAGGAGTAGACTTTGACGGATAGGGGTCTTGTCACGTTTAAAAAAATGAACGAGAAGTGCGCGGAATTCTTCCTGAACCTGACGTATCATCTAAATGCGCTAGATTTCGGCTAAATATATAGTCGTTACAGCGGAGGACGTTTGATACGTTTCATTTGTTTTTCTGAAGTTTCACACCTGCAAAAGTGGAGATTATGCGGTAATCATATTATCAGACAACCGTTGTGTCCATAATCTAATGCAATGTTTTGACTTGTGTTAATGCAACCGGATAAGGTTCAGGTGACAAGACCACAAGTGGAGACAAAATATCCGTGAAATAATGTCACACATGAGAGTGGCGAGTCAGTTCTTCAATTAGAAAATATGAGAAACAATAGAAAAGTTAATTGTGAACAAAAACATACCAGGCGTTGTGCTGGTTGTGTTCATATGTTTAAATATTATACACGAAAATTGTTCTCCTATTTAAAATTGAATCCGTGATTTGTTTATGGAAACACACTGAACGAGGTTGCATCTAAATCTAGTCCAGTGAATAATTCACAAAAATTTTGGTTGCATTTACTGGCATGATTTGTCCCACGGCTAGTAAGCAATGATGTACTTTGAACAATCCAGTTTGCCATAAACCTGTGTGATATAGCAGAACCTACTACAGCCAATTGCACACATTTGATCAAAATGTATATGTATCCATCTGGTTTAGGTTCAGCAATGTTTAACTACGTTGCAGAATTGCTCTATCCAAATTCCACTCCGTTTTGATATTCAGACAAAGCCACATATCCCTTGCTTTATTCTCAAATTATCAACCTGGTTTCTCTCTTCTCTCACTCATATTGCAAATATTAGATACTCATTTCACTTCCATCTGTATTCGAAAGCTCTAAATCAATAGCAAATGAAACACAGGAGTATCTGAGCAATAAAACTTATTCAAACAAGAACATTCATGCATAGCAAAAAATGCTTCGGTCTTGGCAAATGAAAACCTCCCACGAATACGCCCACAAATTGAAACGTAAAACCATCAGCCGTCAGAGGGACTGATTTTCGTACAAACATTGGGTCAATTATTTTTCGTTTTCATACATGTCCCCAGATCTGCGGGGGGCATTGAATTTGGTTTGGACAACCGTAAGGCACGCACTACCGTGCATCGCTTATGCTTTCTGTCTCTTGGCTGTCCATTTGGATGAACAACGGGAGGGGCTTAATCATCGGCGTATAGGGGAATTTCATAGTGAAGCAGGATTTGTAGTCTCGAAGGGGATCATAACAAAAAAACAAATGCCTTTCGGAACATTTACGTCGTTCACTCGCTTGGCGCGGACACTCATCGAGTGGAGCTAACGTTTTTCTCAGTAGTCCACATACTCCGACAAGTTGAATTGTTTGTTCATTAGGAAAATAACAAATGTTTAGATGCTGTGCCAAAAACGTGTGAAAACGTACCCAATTGATAAAACAATTTGATCGTCTGCAATGCACTTGCATCAGTCCCGGAAGGATATTCTCTTTTGATTTTGACGTAACCGTTGGAACGCATTTCGTTTTGGTCGGAGCCTTTACACCATTTTGTGTCTTGCTGCATTTGGAGACTGGACACGTTAATACAGTCGTCCTACAAATTTCAGTGTGCCAAGATCAGGTTTTCAATAAGCATCTTACCTTTGATGCAGATTGACCGTCGCTTACGGGCCAAGTCAAAACAATCGTCTTGCTGGTGTTTGTAAGCACAGACCACTCGCACGCTCCCGTTGCGCTTGTCGGCAAAACTAATTCAGCCTTCGTTTCCGTTGCCAAAAATTCGGATTGTCCGCAATCACCTGCCTCAGAGGTGACTTTGTGTATTTTTATTGATTGTATGAAATTAGGTATGCGTTTGGTAAGATTAGTTTGTGACATAATCAAATCCAGTGGACAACATCGCATCAATGTTGCCTACCATTGAACCATGTATCATTGGTGTAACTTACGTAGTCGATAGTTTACTTTGAAGTTTTGAATCTGGTTCTCCGCTCCAGATTTCGGACCGTCAAATGCGACAAGAACGTTAGAACCAGCGTCTCCGGTAAACGTGTTCTGTTCACTTTTTCCACAAATCGTCTTTGTTGCTGCATTGCCGGAACTAGCTGCGTTTGAAACCTTCACGCACTGCGCATCGGTTGCGGGCTGTCGGTGATAAGGTTGCGTGCAAATTGTGATTATGTGTCCTGTTTATGACAGGTTTTTGATTGAAACATACAATACGCTTCTGGTGATACATACATATACATTATACACATTATACGATGGAACGGTGGGTGGTGTCATGGATTCATTACAGCAATCCGTTGTTTGAATTCAATACTTTGAGGAAATATACATCGAAATTTACACACTAATTGTGGCTGTTTGAGATAACCAGGCAACCAATTATTTATTACCAGCGCACAAACGTAAACTTACGTAGCAACTGGATGAGGATACAGCGGAATGTTTATGTGAAATTACGAAGAAAAATATGAAACATTTAGAAAACTTTATATGTGAAAGTACAGGAGGCATATTATGTTCCATGTTCACTATGGACTTCCTCACCCCAGTGCGTGCAAATTGAATACAGAAGCCGGGATTTGCTAGACCTACCGATTGCACGTTCAAACTAATTTCGATGTTTTTTTTTGCGGTAGTTTCGAGTTCCCAAACGCAGGATATTTCAGCCTTTATAGCACCAGAAGATTTTGCAATATCAAATGATTGCAAAGTATCTGTTGGTTTCTTTATATCTTCCGTGCACTCGGCATCATTCACTAAAACGCGGAAAGAACATTCGAACATGTTATCATGTGAATCGTTGTTACCATTTCAGACCGTTTATGTTAGTTTGAAACTGTAGACCGGTTCACTTACCCAATTGATAATTTAGCTCGATTTTCTGCATATCTTTAGTATCGGCGGGATACTTCCTCTGGATTCGGACTACACTTTTGGATTCCGCTTTAAGGTCTTTGCTACCGGTACACCACTTTGTTCCTTCTTGGGCTGTTAAAGTGATCACTGTAATACAATTGCCAGACTCAAGATCCTAAGGCAGTCAATAAAACGAAATCAAATTTTCAGAAGCTGCTCACCACCGAAGGAGTTAGACTTGCGCTTCCAGGCCATGTCACACGAACAGTTCTCTGATCGTTTGTAATGATATACCACTCACACGATTCTTTTGCGTCTTGTGGCAGGGCGAATACTTTTTCTGCTTCCGCAGCCATAATTTCACTTGCCCCGCAATTGTTTTCTTCGCCTATATTATTTTTTTGCATTGCATAAACGACTTTTACCTGCACCAGCAGACAATGTCACAATTGCATTCAGCGCAATCAAGATTGACAACATTTTACCCTGATTGTAAGCCCAAATTGGTTTTGCATATTTATACCCTTTTGCCACTATTGATGGGCGTTCAGTGGCATATTTCCCGCCAATCATCTACAGCAATGTGTTTGCTTCTCATTTGGTTTCACGACTTATTGAACTAATACTCACCCCATTGCATCATTTCAGTTTCAAAAAGAGTCCATATTTAGTAATTCAGAAGAGGTAGAACAAATGAAATGTTATTGTTCCTAAAAATCGAAAACGACCTTATATTGCCCGTAGTCATTTTAATGCAACAAAAGTGCCTTTTTCTACGAACCATGTGATTTTGTAACAGTATTCGTTCTACTGTGAAGGGAAATGTACGTGAGACTATTTATCGGTGCGTGCTAGGAGTAATAAGTGCCTGCAATTAAGCTTTTGGAAGTATGCAATTTTCCTAAAGGTAGGAACATACATGTGGGCCGTAAATGCTCGCTTGTGAACAACAGGAGTGATCATGATGGGTACGTATGACCATGTTGGTAAAACAGCTAAGTAGAAGTATTTGAGCAATTGGAAATGGAAAAACACATTCCTCCAACCAAACATTACACGCAAAATGTTCCCGCTTCGAAACAATAGATACGCCCCATTGTTAACCATTGTGCTCACATTCTTCGTCTGTAAGAACAGTTTGGAAATTACGATAAATACCCTGTGAGTTCTCCGTCAAGATGGACAGGATTCAATGAGGACAATGCAAACCATGAAAAACACCAATGGTTTAGGCTAACTGCGATGAGGCCGGAGATTTGACTGCAAACAGGTTTCTTAGTTTTCTTATTTGGTTCACAATCAACTTGTTCAAATAGAGCAGCACATTGAGTTAATCAATCAGCACAAATTATTGTTTGCAGTCTACCAAGCTATTGCTATAAAGTGATGACATTGTGCAGCAATTGTTGTCCGCATTTGTTTCCCGACTAAATGGTACTGGCTTGTCAAGAAAATCGGTTAATTGCAGTGCCTTGTCTTAGGTGCGGTCAAGGGAGCAGCATCAAAACGTTTCGCCGCAAATCGCATAAAAACATGCACTACCTGGGTTGCTTGAAAATCACCCAAGAATTTCAGCGTAGGTTAAATCAATTCCAACAGACTTGAATGGACGTTTCCCAGTGCATCCATTTGATTTCAGTTTCTCAACCAATTAGTTCTTCAATTGGTCGGCAAAAGATATATCACCGTATTGGTTGGAGTTATGCAAACGTTCACGAATTCAACTCAGTGGTGGTGTACCAAGAGCACGTCAAACGACATGTAGTTATTGCGTTGCACAAACTTCTGCCTTTGTGACAAGTTCCACGGATGTCCGTTAAGTTGAGTCTAATCCAAACAGCATGATCATCACGCGGTCTATCAGTTTACCGTTTCATCAATTATACTTACACAAAAACTTATTTTTCAACAGTGTATCTTGAATCGTATAAATTGGATCGTCCCATACATTTGTAGGCGTGTAATGAGCAAATTTCGATCGAGCAATTATCGATCTCACTCGAGAACTCGTCGAGGTGATCAGAATATGTATTTGCAAAATGGTTGCCTGCACCAACATCGTACTGAATGAATTCCTCAAACGCAGCATTATGATGCAATCAACTTTAAATAAGACATGGTGGCGCGCGGTTCCAAAGGAGGACCATCGCAAACTGAACAACAAGCTATTGCATACGAGAGGAATTTCCTGCAACTATTACCAAAACGCGTAGGTATCCATCGCTTTATGAATTCTGTCCTATGGGGTTTTGTCCGTGTTGGTTACCTTCAACTGACTTATATTCATAGGTACACCACCAGTTTTCATTAAATGTAACGTGAACTGGATTATATACGCGCTGTGTGACACACTTAGACTATACAATTAGGAAAAATGGGTCAGTCATATGATAGTTCGCAAAAGACTGAAACGAATCTTTCCTGAAATGATTTTCAAAATAAAAGACCATATTCGAATGCTGCACGGTGTATGTCCCAGACGATTTCATTTCTTCTCAAAAAAGTTTTGCTACAAAAAATAATGCGTTTGTAAAGCTTTAACACGGTAATATCGGAAGGTAGAACGGGCATATAACTTTCGTGACCGAGCTTCAGTTAAACAAACGTCAGTACTAATCAAGCCTGGAATCCCAAATCTCAACGAACTCGATTTATACGGTGAATGTTTAGATTAGCCCATTCGGCTTTCAAAAGCCCCCAGAACTGCTGATGGTGTTCGGCGTGTGTGGCACTCCTTGAGGAATCGTCGTTTCTGCACTATTTGAATGCATTTAAATGCGGTGGAAATGTTTGTGATAAACGACCGACTGAATGGGCTAGTCAAAACATTGACCATCTAAATTGATTGAACTATTCGCACAAGGTGATAACCGTGGACCGTGTAGCTCAGGGTTAAGCGTTTGAAGTCCCGTCCCAAATGTTCGCGATTTGAGTCCTGTTAGGGACACAAAACCTGCTCACTGCTTACGAGTCCAAACGGAATGAAACAGCTGTCCAGTGTTGTTTGTCGGTTGTCACAAACATTTCCACCGCGTATAAATTGGTAAACTCTACACTAGAACCCTACTTGGCGATGGGAATTTCAAGTATATCTCGAGTGCTTTGAAAAACGCTGTGAACGTATTTTTGGACTACGTAGGATCTAGTCCATCACAGATGAACTCAATTGCATGTTTTCCACATCAACTCAAACTGAAGTATGGTATCCAAATTTCCATCCGTTGACCATCATGAAGTTTAACATATGACATCTAATCTAGTGCGGGCACAGTTTTTGTACCTCCAAAATGTGTGTATCATGTGGAGGAGCCACTTGTCGGTATTTTCAACGGCTGCTACTAGGAACAAAAAGTTGTCGACTGTTGAAGACTTGTGCGCATCACACCAGCCCATATAGGAAGCTGGGAAATTGCGACTAATCTTCTGCACTTTTGATTTACTAAGCATTTGGTAAACTGCATGCTTAATACGATTATTCCCAACACTACGCAGCTAGATAACAATCAATTTGCTTACCGCAAAGAAAGTTCTACCTCAGATGCCCTTGCGCATCGGTTTTGTCGTCCTTAGAAAAACAAGGCACAGCATCTCGTCTTTGGCTCCTCGACTACGGTAATGCTTTTACCCGTGCTAGAAGAAACAGGCTTTTCTATCGACTCCAAGGTGCTGGACTGTCCAATTTTACACTCTCTATTCCAGGATTGCTTTATTGGTGCAACGCACTTCACGAAGTTTCTTGGAAGAACCTCTGATTCGCAATCAGTCAATTCAGGGTTGCTGCACGAAGCATCTCTCTCCCATTTTCTTTTATCCTACTGTATTCGAGACCTACTCATTGACCCCGATAATCTTCTTATTAAGTATTTCTATGATGTCACCATCGGTTCCGACTTCCAAAGTGATTCCCGCTTTCCACAGCTTCAAACCAGTTTATCAACCTTAAACCTACGGTCTTCGTCTTCTCAGTTATCTCTCAGTTACTCTCAAGGAAGGGATGTCACGTTCTCACTAGCCAACAGAGAACGGCTACATTATTTTGAATAGAATCGTTATGTATTGTATGTTAGCAACAAGCCTGTTCACCCACTATAACCTTTGCAATGCACCAGTGTCACTTTCTACTCGGGATCTCACCTGGACTTCACATTTAAGCTATACTTTGAAAAAGATTCGACGATTATTTTCCTCTATTTCTCACTTACATTCATTAAAGGTTCAACTACTTTTACTCGCACGGCTTTTACATTCTTGTGTTGTTATTCATCTTATTTACTGTTACCCAGTTTCCTTTGGCGGTTACACAATTAAAGGCCGGTTTATTAAAATAAGTTCTCGCACAAGCGGTATCCTTTTATTTACAGCTGCTTACCTTGATCGCCGACAATCCGTTTATCTCCAGCGAAAACACCTGCAACAAAAAAGCATCAGGCATCACTCGCCCATTGAACACGAAAATGATCACGCACACAATTCTGTAACAGGATTTCGGTATACAATTGTGTACGCTCGTACCACCACCTAGGGTTCGCAAGCAGCAATCGATACCTGAATGACCGATGAGCGAGTCGTTTCACATTTGTTAACATTTTGATTTGTAATAATTCACAAAATCTCTTGCCTAAAAGGACAAGTGATACTGGATTCTCCCACTGCCGCACGCAGGCTGTACAAATTAGGTAAATATAAGGTTCCACAGACAACCGGTTGTCGAATGGGTGAATAGATGCACAGTTACAATGCGATGTGGTAGAACAAGACGCTACAAACCCAAAACTACTTAATTCGTAAACAATTCACCTAATATTGAGGAGGGTTCACCATCTCACTTAAAATCAAATGTCAATACTTATTTATGCCCAGTTCAATTGCAAAATAATGTTGACGACATAGTCAAACATATCGCTTCTACTATCATCTACCATATATAGACTGCAAACATATCGAAAACAAGGTCGAGTCACAGATTAGCTGGGCGTGCTACCTGCTGAAATACATGCTCTTTTGGTTGATGAAAATGCATTCGATGTAGACCATATGAGGAAAGTGTTTGCTACTTGATGCACGTAGTGCGTTAATTTCTTTTAAAGAATCGATTGTTTGGAGTGAAAGTTAAACGTGTTTCTAGTGACAAATACGTAATTTGCGTCTGTTTATATGTGGTTTCCCCTTCAAAAGACCTAATGAAAAGGCGCATTCGTGCTTCGGTTTTCATCTTAGATTGCTCACCATCCGCGAAAAGTAATAGCCTTCGCAGACGTGATCCTCCCATGATCACCCGATTGACACCTTTGAAACTTTCATCGGGCTTTGGTTGCTATCTCCCATGTAAATTAGCAGCGCTTGCAAATTCTCCTGAATCACGTAGCTTGGGTGTAACATTCCGAATACTGTTAACTGGAATACTAAGAGATAGATCGGGTGATGGAATGCGGTACAAAGAGCGTCCTGGAAAGCGATCAAATCAAGAATGGGGCTCATCC